TTGGTCCAAATTTTCACTCTGCAGGCTGTTTGCTGAATTGTGTGCATCTGTGGGTAAGAGGAAAAGCTACAGCTCTGGGTAGAATATAGTGTGTCTAATGGCTTTCCTGTTAATTGAATTAACTTCATAGGACAGAAGTAGATCAGATCCTGCCAGGTAATAAGCTCGTTTCTAAGGGCAGTATCTTAACCCTTTCTGACAAGAGGTACTGCTGGATTTCTTTAGGCCATTTGATTTCTTTAGGCCATTTACTGTCATCTAAGACCACCAAAAGTGAATAATGTATCTCCGAATATCTATATTGTAGAAAAATATAGAATATTTGCTTAACAAAATGATGTAGAAGAGCGGGAGCATTGCCTGAAAATCAAGTTAGCTGGGCTTCATTTCTTAATATGATACTAATTAAACATATAATTTTATGTAAGTCACTTATCTGCTTTGTCTTTAAATTTCCTCTTTAAAAAAAATAAATACTTCTGCTGTATCCAGCTCATAGAATTGAGAAAGTAAAATTAGACAGTTAAACATATAATGAGGTAATTATATATAGATGATGAGATAACTTTACTCATATATATGTTACATTTTATTTCTGGGGTCTTTTATTTTTGTCAGAATTGATTATCCTACTTTTTTTTTTTTAATCTCGATCTTCCAACTGCATGGAATATTTTTTTGTAGATTGCTACAGATGATGAATGTTAGTTTAGGAAGTCATACCATCGTTCACTACTACGGCAGTCTGATTTTGTGTCTAGCAAATACAGATTTTTGTTAGTAGACTTTTATTTCTTTAAACTGAATTTAAAATTTCTATGTCCATAAATAATATCAGCAGAAATTATGATTATATCTAACTTATTAAATGCAAGGCCATGATCTTCTCCATTTTACAGATGAGGAAATTGAGGTCCATCTCCTACGCTTCCAGTGCCCGGTTCCTGTGGATTTTAGGCATTGCCTTCTATTACCCTTCCTTGATTTCTTTTGAGTAATTTGAATAACTCAGGCTATTTTCAGCTCAGGCCTTTGCACCAGCTGTTTCTACTTCTAGAACATAAACACAGTCTTCTCTATTCTTCATATGGCTGGCTCCTTCCCATCCATTAGGACTTCCCTGCCCCACATTTTGAAGAGTAAGTGCATGTCCTCCTTGTCTCTACCCCACGCCCTAGCTGTCATTGCCAAAACACTTGCCATAATTTGCAATTTATTTACTTGCTTTTTGTATTCTCCACTAAGATGTAAGCTCAGTAAGGCAGGAATCATGTCTGTCTTGTTCCTAGTTGAATCACTATCAACTAGCTTGATATACGGGGTACTTAATGTTTTTGAATGAATGAATGAATGAACAAAATGCTGATTCTGATTCCCTGAGGGATTCTAAGATGATTCACACCTCTTTCTCTCTCTCTCTGCCTTACATCCTACATGTTCCTTTCATTCTGTCTAATCCCAAGCTCTTAGAGCTCTCTGGACCTTCCAGACTTTTCATACCTCTGTGCTTTCCTTTTCCTTCTTGTTTCCTATTTAGAAAATGCTTTTATGAGCTAAATAATTGGCTTAACTTATTATCTTGTCAAAGGATTAGGCTGTAGATGTCCCTTCTCTCACTATTGTTTTCCTAGCACTGTAATAACAGTTACATGCCCACTTCCCCTGTGGATTGTAAGTGGCTGGAATTTAGGGAACCTTCATCCTTTGAGTTCACACCCTCAGTCCTTAGCCCCGTGCTTGGTATATGGTAGTTGTTTGATAAATATTTGTTAAATGAATGAATGGCTGGGTGAACAAAAGGAAAAACAGAAGGTTTATTAGATGTAACCAACATACTTAGAAACATACCTAATTAGTTTGTGACCTGTAACACATTACTTAGACCCTTTAAGCACCCATGTCCTCCTTTACTAAGTAAGATAAAACAATAGACTCTACCTTTGACCATTTTAATATTCAAATAAGATATATGTTGTATTAGAAAGGGTTCTTTAGAGAAACAAAGCCAATACAGGGTGTGTGTGTGTGTGTGTGTGCGCGCGCGCGCGCACGCACGAACATAAAGAGATTTACTTTAAGGAATTGGCTCATGTGATTGTGGAGGCTTGATGAATCCAAAATCTGATAGGGATGGCTGGCCAGCTGGAGATTCAGGAATTACCGTTACAGTCTGCTCTAAAAGCAGGAAGAGATGATGTTGCAAAGGTAGTCCAAAGGCCAAATGCTGGATAATTCCCTCTTGCTGAGGAGGTGGGGAGGAGTCAGCTTTTTGTTCTATTTGAACCTTCAAACTGATTGGATGAGGCCCAACTACATTATGGAGAGCAACTGCTTAACTCAGAGGCTACTGATTTAAGTGTAAACCTCATCCAAAAACACTTCACAGAAACATCCAGAGTAATGCTTGACCAAGTATCTGGTTACTGTAGCCCAGCCAAGCTGACACACAAAATTAGCTATCACATATGTAGTCCATTTAGTATAGTTTCTTAGACATAGATAACACAAAACCAGACTCCTTGGTCTGATCCTATATCTTCACTCACGCCTGAAGGTCAGGAACCATGAGAACGTGTGTGTTAGGGCCAATGGCTTGTGGTGTCCTGCTGGATGGAATGACATAATTTTCATTCTCCCCCATTCTGGAGTCTCTCGGCAAGCTACACATTGTAAGATTAAGTATGTTTCCCATAAATAGCGTAGATAAGAAACGCTTCTTCGTGTTCAGCAGAAAGTGGACACAACAGAAATGTGTGTGAGGAACATCCTAGTGTAAAATCACAGATTGCCATGGCCTAGCTCAAAGGCCCGTTCACTTGTAGTTCCCCGAAGTAGTTCAAGAAAAGAGCCATAGCACTGTGTCCGCTCTTTCTCAGAGGAGGATGCAAAAGTCATAAACTACTCTTTTCTTTAATCTCTATTATGGAAAGTTCTTCCTGGCAGTCAGTGTCTTGAAGAGGACTCAGGCATATATGCATGGGATGTACTGTCATAAAACTCCTAGAGTGAAAATCTCTCACCAGATTGAGGTGGGAGTGATACATTATGATGGTGTCCACATGGTCCCGGTAAATTTATTTTCTGGACAACTTCAACTCTTTCCTAAGCTGTTACCAAGTGCAAAGGGTAAAATGCCCCCACCATGAAAGGAGCAAAAAAGTGAGTCTGTTGATTTGAGTCCTTAATATTTCACAACCACCTAAGGAATACCTATTAAGTGACATTGATTTTTCTTATAGTGAAGATAGCACCTTTAATGGTAGGTTGCCATTTTCTCATTTATCTCTGCCCATGAACCACTGCAAGAAATCTGGCCTGTGCCCAGTGAAAGACGCATTTTGGCAGAGTGGAATTAAATTCAGTAGGAAAACCTGGGTGAGAGGGACTGGAAGTGAAACATTTAAATAACCACACTATCATTACCCTCATTAGATCTGAACTAGCATTATATATACACTTGGATGGAATGCACTATAGGATTAATAAAAAACTTCTCCACCTCAAAATCTAAATGGTTGACATAATGTTGTATTTGCAAGAGAGGCAGCAAAAGACCACGTTGTTTAAAATGCTTTATGAAATTTTATTTATTATTCAATCATGCAGATTTTGTGGTAAATGTGCATTTCTAAAAGTGCATAAACAAACATCTTATTTTTCTAGATCTTGCATTTTTCATAGAAATATACCACAGATTGTTACTTAAAGATTTGCTACTTACAGATTCATATTCAAAGAGATAAATGAATTTATATGATGCTATTTGCTGATTATGAAAATAGAGAAATATAAAAATATCAGTAACAGAAAATATATATTTCCTTTTATTTGATTACTTTTAAAAATTAAACAAAAACACTAAAATAAAGAATAGTCAAGCTAGTTTTGAACACTTAATATATATTACCAATACTGTATTTTTCATTCTTGAATAATGAAGCATGTGACCCACTGCTGTGTAATTTGGGCTTTGTTCAAACATTAATTGCTATAATCATGAAGGCTACTATTAGAAGCAGACAGAGCAGATCTGTGCACAGCAAAAGAGTGGCTTTAACCAGAGCTCCATCATAATATCTTATTTGGTTAGGAACATAGTTTAAATATTTAAAGAAGAATGTCATGTTGATTCATTGGTAGAGTTTGAACACGCATCTCAGGCATAAGTGGGGATCAGTAGAGTGATATGAATGATTACCAAATACTCTCACTTGAGTATCTAGCCCCCCACAAAGAAGCTATTTTAACAAAGGGGCCTTAAAAAAGTTTTGCAAACCCTCTTTGGCTTTCTTTTTCTGCCACAGTAAATTATTATTTGATTTTCTTCATTTACGCTTTATGGAGCTAATTACATTTGCTTAGAAACAGTGTTAAAATTAAATGTAATTTTTAATTATAAAATGTTTCCTTGGAAACATTTTCTTGTAAGTTAAATGGTATTTTGTTCTAAAATACTTAATTTCACTTACAGTTAGAAATCAAAGAGACAGCACAGCACAGGGCAATTTAGAAACTACTGCATTAATTGCCACAAAAAAGTTAATATTTTTCAGAATGGACAACTAATGGTGAATATCCAATTAACGGCTACACAGTTATTTAACAACTATCCTCACAAAATAGCCATTCCATTTTATGACCATTAATTGAATGGTCACTGGCACTAGACGTTTTTTAAAAATTTGGAAATTTATTTAGAAATCTACAGTTTTCATTTAGAAATGTATTCAGAAATTATCTATTTGTTTCCATTTAGCAAGAGCCGAACACAATGATCACAATTAAAAAAGATCGGCACAGGTAGGTGGCCTCCAAGTTCGCAGCAACAGTTTCACAAATCACCTTAACACACCAGATTATTCACAGCTAAGGGCAAGCCTCTCTTTGGTTCATAAGGTGTTGTCCTGGAAACCATTTTGATGCAGTCGATAATAGGGCAGACGCTGAGACACAGAGTACAGCCGGTGCAGGCGTCAGTGATGGTGGGCAGGTGGGTGTCGGGATCAAACTGTATCGCCTGCAAACAGAAGTAAGGAGTATTGCTGTCACCGACCAAAAAGGTCAAGAACGCCCCCATTTTAGGAGGAACGTTTTCCTCCACTGTAGTAGGGCCGCTCTGGGAGAGCCGCCGCGGCCCAGCCCTCCTCCGGAGCAGCTCTAGTTGAGAGGCCAGAGGGGAGGGGAAAAAAAAAAAAAAGAAAAAGAAAACAAACCAGAGAAGAAATCCTTTTAAAGTAGAAATACATGGTTTAAAATTCCTTAAGGTATTTTTCTTGTGTCGTGCAAGGAAAAGCTTTCAGAACAGTAACGCTCTCGTTTCCTTTGTTCTGAGCAGAGCGCAGGGCCTTCCCGTCCTGCCGGGATGGGGTGTCTGCTCCCTGAGGATGGTGGGGTGCTTTCTCTCCTCACATTCCTCGTCCTCCACAGTGAAAAAGTGTCACGGTCAGCTGGGGCAATGAATGTATTTGCTTGGATTTCACAGTATGCATGTAGTTTTTAGAAGAAAACAGGAGTAAAAAAAAGTTGGCTTTAGTGCCAGTTTTGAGGCTTGAGGATTGTCAATGAAATAATTCCTCCATTCTGACTTCTGACCTCTGTCATGTAAAATGTGTTATAATCCAAGTCCAAATAATTTTTTTTGTTAAAAATTTTCCCTCTCCCAATTGAAGCTACTTGCAACTGTAATTCTTCCCTCTTTTATGCACATAAAAATGAAAATGGTTTTATCAGAGTAAATTATGTCAGAATGCTTAATATTAAAAAAAAAGTCTGATCTTCAAGGAAACAACCATATTCTATCTGAGCAAGAACTGTAGATACGACAAACCATAAGAAACTTTGTCCACATAAATTGCCGTTTTTTAAAATAAAACATCTTGGATGGCTGTTTGAATGAGTAAAAACTATTTCTCTTCCTTGTGTACCCTTTTATAAATAGAAACCCAAGAAGCAACTGAAAATAAAATAATGCCTATATCTTAAAAATTTTATACTTTAAAAATTTGCAGGCATATAAAATTTTATATTCAGTTGAAGATTTTGCTTTTCTATTTTTTATCTTTTTGAGACAGGAGAGTCAAAGGAGGACTTTTTAAACCTTTTTAAATGATTAATTGTGATTTTTTTTTTCCTCATTAATACGGGTTTTTTGGCTTGTTTTGTTTTTTACTGATGTTGTACCAAGGTTAGACTTCTAAGGTAGGAGTCATAACTTTTAAGATTTGAGATATTAGAGCCCTGCAGCTCTGATTTTAGTGACAGAACTTCTTGACTCATCTCTAATTGGTTAATTAGAGGAAAGACGAAAGTGAGTGTGATAGGATTAGCATTTCCAAAATAACTGTTAGAGACACATTTCAGCTACAAAAAAAAAGTGACACATATAAAAATTTGGTATAGAACGAACATCAAATTAAAGAGGAAGAGATTTTTTAAAAATTAAAATATGTCTGTTATATCTCTGTTAGGTGGTCAGAAGAATATGCAAAATCGCACCACGAGCAACACGGGACCTTCCTCCAGGCTGAATAAGCTAAATGAACTTCAATTTTTAAAAAGAGGCCATTTCATCGACCTTGAAAATTCCATTCATCATCTCAAAAGGTGTTATTTTACTCTACTTCTTCATAGCTTGAAAAGTTTAATGAGAATAATATGATTCTGTAGTTTTGAGACTGAAGACAGCTGAATCCCTGCTTCTTCTGTGCTGTCCCCTGGCAGCCTCTCGGCTGAAGGGTGAGGCCCTGGGAAGAAGCCACAGCTCACTTCGTGTGGTAATAATACAACCTGCTGGCTTCTCCAGTCACAAAGGAATTCTGGGCCCCAACACTTTCCCCAGTAGGAAGGTGCTTCTTCTTTCTTACTGTAGTTGAAGCCCAGTCAATATTGAATGGAAGAGAATTTTCTTCTGGTAGAAAGAATCAAGTCCTTTCAGGGCAATGGCAATACATGGTAGTTCTCTTCCCTCCCCTCTGGATTAAAGCCTAACGCTTCCGAATGTCCATCATCGGGTGGATTTCTCCTTCTGGTTGGATTTTTCCATCCAGTGTTATGGGTAATAAACGATATTAAAATAACACTGTTAACTGGATAGTGGCACAGTTAGTACAAATTATGGCTTTCCTTTGAAAAAATTCCCATGCTCAGAGAGCAAGAGGACAGACGTGTCCCTGCTGAGCGGCAATACTGGGCACGTCTGGTCAGCATTGCACACTCAGCAACACAAGATGCTTTCTGCTACAAAAGCCAGAAGAAACATGCCTCACAGCATCCCAATTACAGCAGAATCCTTACCTGGTAGCCAGAGTCATTACAGGTCATGTAGCATTTGCCACAGTTGATACACATTTCTTCATCAATCACGGCCACGACTTGCTCCAGGTTGCTCAGTTCACCAAATGCTCCAAGGTACTGCAGTGCTTTTCCAATGACATCCTACAAGGTAGGCACCGAAAGACTGACAGTGTTCATTGTAAAACATTACCATGCAATAGTTAGGATCAGTCCAGATTTCTCTGTTTTTTATATGATGTTGCATTATGTAACTTAGGAGGCTTCCAGGAATGTAGTTCTCATAGATCTACTTTTCATAATTGTAGCTTAAATTTTTTTGTCTTCTGAAAGATGGGCAAAATATGTGTGTATATAAAGAGAGAGAGAGAGAGAGGGAGAGAGAGAGAGAGATCTCCAGCTTAGAAACACAAGACCTAATCAACTGCATTCCATAGGTTTTCTACTAGATGATCTAAAACTGTTTCTGTGGACAGAAGAAATGAACCTTGAATTTTCAGTGGTCGTGTCTTCCATTTTTTCCAGTTTTGAACTTTGAAGGACCCACAAGTAATAAAAAGCGACAAAGGGTGATGCACTTAAACTAGAAAACTTTAAATTGCCAGGAATGAGGGGAATAAAAATGTGAATGTTATGCATTTATATCACTGCATTTGGATTCTAGATTTTCATTTCAAAAAGTGCTTTGATAGCATACCCACCTGTCATGTGTTGAGGAGTATATTTCATTATTTAAAAATTCAAATTTATGTTAATTAATCAGGTTCATCTAATAGCTAAAGAAGATGCTCTTTTACTTTTAAAGAACTAGGGTTTTCTTCATTCACCGCTGAAGAGTTTTCATGTGGTTACACGTTGCTTTGTTCTTCATATTAATTGGAAGTGTGCTTAATATGTGAAGCAGAGAAGATGTTTCATCAACAATAAGAAATACTTTGTCGCATAAAACAAAAACAGAAGGATGTACAAGAGAACAAGAGAATTTTTTTGTTTGAATTCAAGGTCTGCATTCAAGGAGGTTTGACTCATAGAGCTATCTTCCTGTATTCTCTTTGGCATTTTATTTTCTGCTTTTCTTTTTATGACCTTGGTTACCCTTTTTTACTTTTTTTCTCTATTTCAGCTCTAAATGACAATATGCTCATGACTGGGAGCTTTCAGACTGAAACAAAGTTTACATTATTATATGCAGTTTATTTGTGCATCTCTCAAGGAGTAGGATGATAGAAACTTTACAAGACTGTCTTCACTATTTTCAGTGTGTTGGAGATAGAACTTCAACTATACTGTAGTCTGTCTGTAGGTGGGCACTTGATGTCCAAATCAATATCTCTATTTGAGGTTGCTCTCACAATCTCAAGATCTACGTTTGTCAGCTGCATGATGAGCACTGTCACTAGAAATCGGTACCTCAGATTCTCCACTCACTAAACTTATCATCAACACCACGAAACTAGGTCTTCCTTCTGATTTCCTTCGTCTTGTGAACAGCGGTAGGATTTTTCCAATCTGCAGCTTGAAATTTCTGCATTCGATTCTACTCCAGCTTCTCCATACTCCAGCATCTCGTGTGTCTATGGTCAAGTCTTATGAGTTCTGGATCTGCAATATCTTTTGAATCCTCTTTCCATGTCTACTACAGTCTGTAACCATGACTAATTAGCTTCCCATTACTTCTAATGAAGTTAAGAGCCCACCTGATGAGTCTTTCTCATATTCTTTCTTACCCCACTCTACCCTACGTAATGTTCTCACCTTAATCTAGGCTGTACGGCACAGACTAAATTTCTCACTACCTTACTAAAAAATCTGTTAAATTAAATATTGTCTCACATTTAAGGCTTTCTAACAATGTCTTTTTTGGTCTTATTTCTCACTTCCAAACAGCATGTGCTTCAGCTACACTGAACACACACTTCACACTGAACCACACCTGTCAATTGACTCCTCTGGTGCCTAATTTTATGTTGAGTGCTCTGTCCAGAATACCCTTCCTTCTCATCTCTGCTTTGAAAAATCTTTCCCATCCTTCAAAGACATCTTACGTGTCACTCACTGCTTCATGAAGATTCCCTCAATTCTTCTTCCACCTTTCCTAACCAAATTGAAGATATGATCTCTTTGTCTCCTCCATTTTCTCCCACCTCCCCTTCTCCCCTCCCCATCTTCTCTTCTATTCCCCCAACGACCTATAGTATTTTATGTATCATGTGGAGGCAATGATAACAGACAACTTCTGAGTTCTTACTGTGTATTAGACCAATGCCATGATTTTAAAGCATTGTCTCATTTAAACCTCAACACACGATGAGGTGAATGAGATTTAAGGTACAGAATTAGGTAAATGATGAAGCAGGGATTCAGTCACTGCTGCCTGACTTCAAATTCTGTGGTCATAAGCACTTCCATGCTGACTCATCTGTTATTTCTCTATTTAGCAAATTCTACTTCATGATGTAGATATTTTCTATATTTAGCTTCCTATATGCAGTCTCCTAGCAGGCTTTATTCATCTTTGTGTCTCCTGTGGAATATCTTGCTCCTGCAGATCACTGAAACATAATGGGTGCTCAAATATTATTAAAATAAATATAGCATTCGTTTATTCATGTACTAAATAGACAGTGTAATATTAGGCACATAGTTGTATGGGCTAATAGCTACTTGTTGATTTACTGAACAGTTTTATTAATATGAGCATCATAAAAAGATTTGAGCCCTTCTTTAAATACAAAATAATCATAGTCAAAGTATCTGGACATGCTTAATATTTCTAATGATATTTTAAGGCAGTAAGTCCATGAGGTCACTCGCTAGCTATAAAACTATTTATATGTGATACAAAATATAATTTTTTTCAATCTCGGATATAAATCAGTCAAAGCAGTTGTTTTATTGAATCAGATCACTGCTTGACTGAAATCACCAGAAAATACTCAAATGATAATTAAACAGGAAACTCCCTAGACAGTCATCAAACCTCCAAGGCTTATTCAAAAGACACAATGTATATTTCAAGAGATTTTATTGTAAGAGGCAAGTTCACATTCTGTGTATATTAAATATACCTTCTGCTCTGTATTGGAGACTTGCAGTTGTTATTTATTAAAATATTATTTAATGTGAAACTAAATAAAACAACATCTTCGGAGGCTCTAAACTTTATTAGCACATGGTATTAAAAAGCATCATAGTTCTTAAGATACTATAATTTTTTAATCTGGAAGAGGTTAAAAGATTGAGAACCATTTTAAATTATTTTGGGAAAGAGTATCAGAGAAAATGAATTACCATTCTCTGTGCCTGAAAACGTAGACAATTTGTTTAAAACCCAAAGCTTCCACTTAGTACTGTCAGCTTATGAATACCATTGAGAAGACATATGGAATTTGGAGTTCACTGAAAGGCACATATAATCAATAAAGGACATATGGCTGGTCTAGTCCTTCGTGGACACACATCTGTGGAGATTAAGGAACCTACATTTCTTCCACACAGGGTGTGGATATACACCTGATTAGAGCCATCCCTGATTAGTGGAAATGTTTATGCGTGAATGTGTGTGGAGAAAGTGATGCTAAATTCCTTAAAGTATAGATACATTTGATTTAAATATAAACGGTCCCCAAAATTATCATTGTGAAGGACTACAGAATTCGAGAATCACATCTTTTTCAGTTAATTATTTCTTTGGGATAATCAAAAGTATTTTTTAGAAACTGGATCAGTCAATATTTCTGTTTGATATGAAGTTTAGGACCAAAGAGTGAGGAACTAGAGGGCCCCAACCCCATCCCTGCTCTATCATAATTTATTATGCTTAGTATGAATTTATTAGTTTTGGCCTATTTTTTATTGGTGAAGTATTTTCAAGTTGTGACTGTTGTCTGGCACATTAACTATTCTTCCTAGCTTTACGTCTTCTACACATCTGAGCAACATACTTTCTCCAAACCTGTCAATCAAAGTGCCATTCAAAGGCCAGGACCAAGGACAGTGTAATGTGGGCAATCCCTGTGACTTCTGTGGGAAAGGGATCCACTATTTAAATTATTTGGGCATAGCTATTTAATCACTTTATCCTCATCTGTACCATTACCAATGTCACATGTCTTATCTTTTACTCCAAGTTCACTACTTGCCCAATAAACCTATCAAAATAGGAAATGAGATCATTTGGTTGGTGATCACTGAATTTATGCTGTTTCTTAGTAACATCTTTCTTTATTAACACTCTCAAGTCAAAAGTTTCATTATCTTTGGAGAATTTCACTGGGGTCAGACCTCAAGCTTTCTGGTCTACTTCTACCTTT